GAATAAGGCTGCACTGTCCAGAAACCTTGTGGCAAGGCTCTTGGAGTACCTCCAGGAGAGCTTCATGGAGATGTCCCTGAAGGATTTCCGCTCCATCCCCAGACACGTTAACAGACTTTTCCAGTAGCTGTACTGGCCACGAATGTATCCCAAGTCCTCAGGGCAAAGTAATCATTAAAAAACACTTGCTTTTAAAACAAGTTGTATATTTTAAAAGGTAAACTCACCTGAGGTCCCTTCCATGGGGTCATGGTCTTGGATACTGGGTTGGGAGGGTACTTCAGTCAGGCTGAGAAAAAGATCCTGGCTGTTGGGGAGAACGGAATGCTGGGTGCTTGGCATGTCTGCGGCTCTGACCCGGAGCGACCGTTTGCCTCCTTTGTTTTTTGATAGGCTTGTCTGAGCTCCTTGACTTTCACGCGGCACTGATCTGAGTCCCTATTGTGGCCTCTCTCCATCATGCCCTTGGAGATTTTTTCAAAAGTTTTGGCATTTCGTCTTTTCGAACGAAGTTCTGCTAGCACTGAATCCTCTCCCCATATAGCGATCAGATCCAGTACCTCCCGTACGGTCCATGCTGGTGCTCTTTTTTGATTATCGGCTTGCATGGTTACCTGTGCTGATGAGCTCTCTGTGGTCACCTGTGCTCTCCATACTGGGCAAACAGGAAATAAAATTCAAATGTTCGTGGGGCTTTTCCTGTCTACCTGGCCAGTGCATCCGAGTTCAGATTGCTGTCCAGAGCGGTCACAATGGTGCACTGTGGGATAGCTCCCGGAGGTCAATACCATCGAATTGCGGCCACACTAACCCTAATTTGAAATGGCAATATCGATTTTGGTGCTACTCGTCGGGGTGGAGTACAGAAATCGATTTTAAGAGCCCTTTATTTAGAAATAAATGGCTTCGTTGTGTGGACGGGTGCAGGGTTAATTCGATTTAACGCTGCTAAATTCGAATTAAACACATAGTGTAGACCAGGCCTTTGTTTAGAGCAGTGGTTCCCAAACTGGGGTTCGTGAACCCCTGGGGGTTTACGAAATGTTACAGGGGGTTCTCGGGAAAAAATTCCCTAATGGCGGACAGTGCTGTCCTTAGGGACCCCCAGGCAGCACGGGACCAGCAGCCCGGAGCCCCTGGACTTCCAAGAGCTAAGCAGATCAAAGCAAGCATATCAATCACACTGAGGAGATTTAAACTTCAAGACTCCTTATAAGAAAAGGAAAGGGAGATGGATATTTTTTGCTGTTTTTAAAATTAAATAGGCAGCTAATCTTGTTTTTAAAATTATTATGAAGAACAAGTTTAAGCTTTGTTGTAACGTGTGTTGTTTGCCTGGACTGCTCAAGACCTGAATGCGTGTGTAGGAAGAACTCTTTGAGTTGACTTCTTAAATACCTTCATGTTGTTTCATATCTGATACTCCTTGATGAAACATAGGAGCCTTGTCTTATAACAGGCTTATTCAAAGTGATAAGTATGAAAGTGAGATCTTAGAAGAATGTTGCCCTTTTCATAATGTAATAAAAATACTGTAATGATAAATAATTTATAATAAATAGTGTCTAATAAGCATGTCATAAAAACAAATTTTATATTTCCAAGATCACTGCTTTTATAATTTATACTCAGGTAAAAGAGAAAATCCCTGGAAATATTCATTTTTAAGAGGGGGTTCGTGAGACTTGACATTTTAGTGCAAGGGGTTCACAGGTTGTCAAAGTTTGGGAACCACTGGTTTAGAGGATCCATCATCCTCTGCTTCTCTTGGAGGTTCCTGTGTGGGCCAGGCAAGGCACAAGTCAGACATCCGACTCCTAAGCTGACATGGGGAAGTTCTGGAGAGCAGTGTAAACAACTCCTTATTCTGACCCTCTGATACTTGATGGCATGACTCACTCTTTTTAAAGCCTCTAGCTGTATCTATAGCTGTTTGGCCCTGCACCTTTCATATTGTAGTTGGCTTTACAATTTCACTCCATGGAAACTGGTTGGTGAGGTATGTATTGTCTCTATTAGAGAAAAATAAAAAATGGACGAGAAGAAATTGCCATATTTGCTTAAAAATGGCATAGGTTACATCTTCGCAACTGCAACATATTCATTGTGTTATCTTAGCATTAGTCAGAATTATTTCCAAAGCTGGACATGATTCTTTCCGCAGTTACTATAGAAAAGTACTGTTTCTAAAGTGGGCCAGAGGTTGCAAGGTAAGACAGCTGTTGCTAAATTATCTCCCAATGGTATCTGAGGGATCAATTTCCCCTTATGCTTAGCAGAGGAAAGAACACGGCGTCTCTTGGCAAATGGTGAGTTTCTTAAAGCAACCACTGACAGGATTTCATGTTGTTTTTATAAATTAATCTTAAAAGTAATGGCAAATGTATGCGCTGCTTTAGGACAAATCATTAAGCGGAGGCACAATATTCTGATCTGATAAAGGAGACCTAGGTCCCTCATAATGACACTTAGTGGGAGGAGTTTAACTATGATGGTTGTCTTATAGCATCAACACGTTGCAAAGCTATCGCATAGGTCCCACTTCTATTTCCTGTTCTAAATATAGGGGGAATTGTGGCATTTCAAATAACCTTGTGTGGTAATTGCAGGCAAATGTTGACTTCATAATGGTGGCTGCTATATATCCTGATTCAATCCATAGGAGTTTTCAGATAAATTCACTAATCCCGCCTATCACCAATATTACACTTGATAAAGTATGTATCCCATTGTGACAATCGGGGTCCAGACAGTGCAAGGGAAGAAAGGGGGGTCTAAACCCCAAGAATAAGCAACTGAATCAAAGGGTTATATACAATGTTGTTTGTGTATAAAGATATGTCCACTAAAGTCTTTTAAGAAAGCTTGTAATGTTCTGAATTTGATGGTCATTAGGAGAGCTGTATACAGGTTATGGTTATGAATATATGCATGTATATGTGTACAACATTGTAATTGCAACACAGGTGCACCAACACCATCGTCTCACAACAATGTCGGGAAGCAATCAGGCAGGGAGGGGCACCTCCCAGGGTAGTTGTTTACACAAAACTAACTCCAAGCACCAAGTGTCCTACATTCCAGGGAAGAACAATCATGGACTGCTACATGGAAAGTCATTGAAACTGAAAATAAAATCCCTGTCTTGAGCTCATAAGGAATTTCCCCTGCACTGTGTAACCATGAATTAATATAGTCTGGAAGAAAGGGAAAAAAAAACCCTGCAAACCTTGTTAAAAGGGAAGGGGTTTGAAGTGAAGGCTATCACTGGTGTGCAAACCATCTGGAGTGTGTCCCCCAAAGTGAACTGATGACTGGGAGCTGGTTTCACCTCTTCAGGGGTGATGAATCAGATGGGAACTGTCCAAGTGTCTGGTAGTTAAGAACTTGGGGAGACTCGGGAGCTAACGGGGAGGTTGAGGTGACCCTGCAAGGAGTAACTAGGCCGGTGCAAGCCAGGGTGAAACCTTTATGCTTGAAGGCTGTCTACTGATGTCAGAGCTCTGAGCCATAGCAGCACAGCATTAAGGCAGTTAAAGCTACAAGGCGGACGGTGACAGAACCCCTCATTGGTCTGGGTGATCTCCAAAATGTCACACCTGTCAATCCAAAAACACTCAATTTTCTTTTCTTTGTAATGTGTTTGTGTTTATCTAACCTGTGTTCAGTTGCCTTCCTGCACCTCACAAATGCTTAAATGACACTTTATATAACCAGTTTTACTGCAGTTGTTCATCTGTTACATTCTTTTATTTCCAGCACTGATAGAAAACTCTCTGATAGCATTATGTATGTGGAAAAAGTTAGTTCTCAGAGCTTGGCATCCACATCAACACCCTAGTTGGCCTTAATTTGTTCCTTTGCTGACATTCTTGGCAGAGAGAAGGTTTGGATGGGTCAGTGAGACTGAACTCCCCTTTCAGTCATAGAAGGTGGATCCCTGCATAGTAGGAATGAACGTACATTCCCCGATAACATTGTGCAGGAAGCTGGCACTGCCGTTGCCTATGCTGTGTATGATCGGTGGATAAATAGAAGACTAATCCTCGGGCTGTCAGTCCAGCATCTTTCACTAATACCAATGTGTGTCACACATTTTAATAAAAAATAATCTTGTTAAAGCAACAGAGAATTTAAAAAGTGTTGTTATAGTAATCTTAATTAAAGAATTAGACTTTAGTGGAGAAATAGGAATGAATGTACAGTAACTACAGCGTTGGAGATTTTAGTTGACATATAAATTCATGTTGTGTTTTTTATTCTCCCTAGCAAATGAAAGCTACAGACAGGTAGCAATGTGTGTTCTGTATCACATAAGCATGGACGACCGCTTTAAATCGATGTTTGCGTACACAGACTGTATACCACAGGTATGTGTTTTCCTTCTAGACGCATTCCACCACAAACATTCTATTTGTCGCCTTCCCGGTAGCAGAGGTCACAGTGACACCTTCAGGTGATAATGGGAACAACCATGTTTCTTTCCAGTCAAATAACAATGAGCCTCTATTAAAAATGCAGCTTAACCATTCAGACTACCTTTAAGCAGACTTTCTAAGAAGGAATAGATGACAGACTTTGTCAGTGCTGCTGGCAAATAAGGCACATCAGCTTATTGCCAAGGGTGTAAGCAACCAGAAAATACCACTAGAAGATTAGCCATGTTAAAGGGAGATGACAATTGGTTCCCTATATAATTACTGTATATGTCCTGGAGAGCTTTGCTTTTTGCAGTTTCAAAAGATACTCCTTTCCAATCCCATTTTAAGTATCAGAACGTCATTTTCTGCAATGTTACAGAGTATGAGCTGGAAACCAGCCAAGCAAATGTTACATCACTGCATGGACTATCTCTGCTCTGACTACAGTCCCACTAAATAAAAGACACATGAAAACTGTGTAGTTGGGAAAGAAATACCTTTTACCTACCTTCTAGATTAAGGATTGTTTGGTGCCTCTCACTGTCTGTAGGGACTAAATAAACAAAATTTCATTAAAAAAAAAATAGCCTGGATCTTTTAAACAACTATATGAGTCAGTTTCTCAGGGTACTGATTTAAGGTTAGAGTTGAGGATAGAGTCTCCATCTCGTAAGTGTAAAAAGGTCTCTGGTTGCTTTTTTTAGAATTGCACCACTCTGTTCTCTTTCCTGCCAAACATCTTTTAAACATCAAGCATATCCATGATGGGAAGTTGCCATGGAAAGTTTTCAGAACATTTCTTGTCATGGTAAAAGTTGTAATGTTCTTCCAAGTCAGGGGGGAGGAAGGAGGATCTGATGGGAATAGCAAGTGTATGTTGCAAAATACTCTTGTAAACATCCTGTAGATTGTGTTTGCCACAGGATGAAGTTGTATGCTAAGAAGCCCAAATGATACAGAGAACCCACTACTTTTGAATTGTCACCCACCAAAACCAGAGGCTTTGTTTTGCACTTTAGGGCTCAGTTATTATGTAACTTTTGGGAAATATGGGCATGGTTTAAAAGCCCCTAGTGCCAAATATAAAAACCATGGAAATTTCAATAATATTTAACTAACATGCTTGTTCTGATAGGCATTGGCTGCTCAAAGTTGTGCCTGTAACCCTTGTTCAAAGCCCGTTGTAGTAAATAGACTCCCATTAATTTCATTGTTCTTTATATCTGGCTCATAAAGCCTAGCAAAACTTTAAGGCCATCTGTGACCATGATGAACAGTTACCGTGCTCATTAAATCCTATACTAGACTATGGCTGAAGATCCTGTTCATCCAAAGCCACGCTGTGATTTGCCACTTGGTCCTTTGTGATGAACATCTGTACACCTGCAGCTGGTGTGTAGAGCTAATTGTAAGGGAGAGAGGTTGGGACAGGAGGGGAGAAATGAACATTTTAAAGTGATCCCCTCCCTTCTTTGCCCCTCGCCCCTTCCTAGGGTGAATAGATAGAAAGTGTGAAAAATTGGGATGGGGTTGAGGGGTAATAGGCGCCTGTATATGAAAAAGCCCCACATATCGGGATTGTCCCTATAAAATCAGGACATCTGGTCACTCTACCACTCCCCCAGATTGTATTTAACTCTGTTTTAATGTAAAATGAAGGAGCCAACCATACTCCATTAGCAATAGGCCACATCTGGGTGTGTTCTGGTGGGCTATTGGTGCACATCTCAGGTGGCAGAATACACTTCTCCTTCCCACGTAGTCCCCTGTTCAGTGAAAAATCCGCTCCCTTTCACCCCAGTAAAGCTCTAGATCAGAGCACAAGCTAGCTGATGAGTTAGTTGAATTTTCCTTCATGGAAGGTTCTCCTCTACTGACCCATTGGGACGGGATAGGAGAGGCTAGTGAATGTTACCAAAATAGGGCACAACAGCCCTATGCTGCTCCATTGCATGGTGAGTGTCACCTCTGCAGAGCTGCCAGTGCATCCTATCTGCACAAAGGGTTGGGACTTGGTTCTGTCACGTTTGCAGTCTGCAGGTCCATTGGGTCTGTTTGTTTGCCTATGTCTTTCCTTTGAACATTTTAAATTATCTGAAAGGGGCTGCATTTTCCCAGGTAAGCATCCTTGTGGATTTCAGGAGTTAATAGGCATTATTGTAGTTCCACTTAAAAGTGAGTATTAACAGTTCATTCTTGTTTAGACCTTAGCAATGAGTGTTTTGTTTAAATAGGTGCAAATGCCATCCAGATGCTTATAAAAGCATATATTGGTAATAGCCTGGCCAATCAAAGAGCATGATTAGGCAGTGATGTTATGGTGATATTTAATATTTTACCACTGAGCGGTGTACAAGGATCTCCTCAGCTCCCCACATGTTTTCCACCACGGTTGTCCTGCTTCGCTCCTCTTTGATCTATAAGCTTCTTTTTAGTTTAATGCTGGTAAACGTCCTCTCTTGACAGCGCCCTTTGCTCCTGTCCGCCATTATCTGCTGAAGTTCAGAAACCAGAGCATCACTTCAAACAGCAGAGTTAGGGAGTAACCGGTCAGAAGAGATTCCTGAGGCATGCAGTTCTGGCATAATCATTCAAAGATGTTTGAATTGGGGTTGAGGAGGGGGTTGGACAGAGGTGTATGTGAACAGAGAGCTGTGGGGGTTGGCCTCTGGTCACTGGTAAATAAGTGAAGTCAGGTGCCAGAGAGTCTAGACACAGTGATTTCAGTCCTGGGTCTGTGGTATCTGATACTCAATATGGGACTTGTCTGATTGAACACTACTGCCTCTTCATTGCACATGCTGCAGCCTTTTTACTGCCTTCCTGTTAAATCAGTAAAAGATGACAATGGACATGGTAAAAGCAGAACAAATTTAATTTTAATATTTCCTATTTGGCAGCAATTACGCTCCCTTTTGAAGTGGCACGAGGAGCAATCAAATTAAATGAAGACATAATGGGAAACATGGAGTTCATACAAAACTATTATTTTAAAATTTGAACTGGTTTAATTGAAATTGGAGTATATTTATTTCTTTTTACAGAGAAGTAGCTCAGTAATGACAATTTGACCCCACTACGTTCAACATTTAATTTCCATAGATTTTTGCATTCAGTGAGCATAGAATACGTTTCAGTTTTAAAATATATATAAATAATTTGAAGGGATTTTGGAGGGTAATTTCTGAAAGGTCACATCCCCTACTTGCTGAACTTTCTATAGGACTTTGCTGGTTAATTCATGTTTGTAATATGTGAGTATCAGGGCTGATTAACCTTTACTTAAGAAAAGGAGGAAATCAACAATGGCTTTTACATCACCTTGTGAAAGCCCTAAAAGATATTTATTTATTTATTTATATTACAACACAGAATATATATATATATTCTGTGTTATAATTGAAATCCATATATTTGAAAATGTAGAAAGACATCCACAAATATTTAATAAATTTCAATTGGTATTCGCTTGTTTAACAGTGCGATTAATCGCGATTAATTTTTTGTTAATCGCGTGAGTTAACTGTAATTAATCGACAGCTCTTATATATGAATGAGAGCACATATTAATCACTATTGTGACCTAAATGTGTTTTTATTAATTTGGCAGCCTCTTTGGAATGACAACTTGATTGTGTATTTATCTATTGCCAGATAACTTCCTCCAACAGATTATCTGTGGAGGATTTACCTGCAGTACTGATGCCTCCTAATTGTCCTTTCTCTGAATATATGTTTTGGTAGATACCCACTCGATCTTGTACTTAACCATTCCAAGGTGCTACCACTAGGGGGCAAGAGTGCAACTGCTTTGACAGTTACAGTTTAGTTCTTTCTCCCTGCCCCTACCCCTGCTGCCAACTGAGATCTACTCATTATATCTACTGCCCCTGTATCTGTCCTCTTTTCAAGTGCATTTGTTTTATCCAGTCTTGTACCCATGCTACCTTGCATTGTGATTCTGATAGGTCTTGCAAGCTAAGTAGTCTGGCTTTGTCAGTGCTTACATGGGAGACTGATGCACTACAGAATTGGGGTTGGTGCTGCAGTAGGGGTGATCTACCTTTTGAGTCAGTAACTGAACCAAATCTACAGCATGGTGTGAAAAGTGAAGACTGAGAAATAGACTGATGTTTGGATGCTATTTATATATTGGATTTGCTGTTTGTAAAAAATTAAGGCAGACTTAAAATGGACAAAATTAGGGTTGATATGTAAGCTGTGACAGACCAGTGAATATATAGGAACAAATTATATGGAATGGCAGTTAGCTGTTGGTTCTTTGTAGCATCATCAGCGGAGTCACTAACATGCACCACAGCAATTAGAGCAGACTGTGGGAAATGTGTATTTTACTCCAGGTGTCCTTTTTCCTCTACTGAAGGAGTGGGGCTGTAGTAAAGGAGACACTGGCTCAGTACTGCAGTATATGGCAGTAGCAATGAGTGCAGTGGATAGTAGGTTTGCTTAGACAGGGAAGGACACATTGTAGCAGATAGATAGGAGTAAGTTTAGAGATAGGCAGCGGAGTAGACTTAGCCAGTTCAAAATAGCAAGAGTAGGATTATTATACAATAAAACAACCATTGGTAGTTCTTTATTCTATTAAGCAAACAGAAGTATTCTGTTTTCATGGGATGAATAATTTAGTATACAAGATTTTAAACTGTTCACAGGAATTTAACCATTCACAAACAATACATTATCTCCCTATCACTGGAATTTATCTAACAAACTCCGTTTATTTTAGAAAAGGTGGCAAGTGATTGCAATTCTTAACTGTTAGTAACTCTGGCTGTCTACAAATAATCAAACCCTAGTCCTTCCAAATTAATCACCATTATAAGTTGGCAGCAAATGTAGAGATCCTGAATATGAAAAGTATTCAGATTAGCATAGTTGGCTTGAGAATATTGCTCTGGTTTTTTTTCTCATGCTTTGGAAAGTTTAATGACTCATGTGTGTATTGGTAGTTAATGAAGATGCTCTTTGAGTGCCCTGATGAACGCATTGACCTGGAGCTCATTTCCTTCTGCATTAACCTTGCTGCTAACAAGAGAAATGTGCAGCTTATCTGTGAAGGTAAGTGTGCAGAAGCTTCATAGCATATCTTTGGGTCAGTGCGTAGCACCCTGTTGGCAAATGTAATAGTAATACAACTAATGACAGCAGAAAAACATTCAGACCACATATATAATAAACATTTGTGTATGTGCACAGATGGGTCAACTCCTAATGTCACTCATCCCCCTATTGAGCCATAGTATCTCCAATTCTGTGGTGAACAGTTCAATGAAATCACTGATGACTAGCGTATTGAAAACTTTATGCTTATCCTGACCCTTACTATGTGGGATGAATGTAACTCTTTATGGAATTCACCCCAAAATCTTCCTACAGGCAACTGGGGTTCTGTTTCCAGACATGAATAAGTAACACAGGGCCTCTTTTATTTTTATTTTTTAATGGAAAGATACAATTTGATCTATTTTAAGATTATGTCCCTCAAAGCTGGTGTTTACAAGCTGCGTAGTATGAACAGGCTTACTTTTCATGCGATTGCTCCAAAGCTGCTCTCTCTTTTCCTGAACTCCCTGTGCTGATTCACAACTTTAAAGTGCAGTTCTTCTCTGAAATGACACAGTAAAACTGGCACATTCTCAATCAACCATTTGCTCCCTATATGTATTCAGAATCCTAGCTACTAACTTCAGTGGCAACTGCTTCATAGATTTTAAGGTCAGAAAGAACAATTATTTATTCTGATCCCCTGCATAGCATGGGCCATAGAATTTAACCAGTGATTTCTGCATCAAGCTCTGTCAAGTGTAGTTGAACAAATAATTTTTAATTGTTTTTTAGTCCTATTATCACTTCAAAGCCAACACCTCTAAAACAGAGTGAGCTGGATTCTATTCCTTTTTGTGCATCAAGAACTCTATTTTTACTAAATTCCAATCGGTTATACATGTGCAAACCACACAGAAGGCAGTGGACTTGCACAAGTATCACTGAGGTAATAATTTAGTTTGCAGGATGTTTTTTAGTGTTGAGTATACATGAGAAGGAAAGAACCCAGTTTGACACTCAGAACCCAGACCAAGTTGGCAGGGCTCACAGTTAGAGAACAACCTTTTTTTATTTGCAAACTAAGCCTGTTTGGTCTGGAATCAGTAAAAGATAACCAAGCAGTACAATAATGCCATTTTTACATAATTTCCTTTCAGAGTTATAGCTATGGAAAACTTACCTTTTCACTAACTTAGACACAACTTTGTGTATGCATCACATTTTCTCTTTCTGACTGGAGATATTTTTTATGAAAACAGGATTTCTGCTGCTGCATAATCATCTTTCATTGCTGATTTGTTCAGCATATCAGACCTAACCCTTTGCTATATTCTCAGTAGGGCTATTTATATATTGACTAGCCTGAGGGCTGCTTCCTTTGTTGGTGCTTTGTCACAGAAAAATAGTCCATACAAAAACTTATATAAAAATAAAAAAGTAATTGTTAATATCAGACAGGCAAGGTTGTCCCAAAAAATCACATCAGTAAGACAGTGATTTGGCCCACAATATCAAATGATTGAGTCTGGTGAAAGTTCTGTTATTCCTGTAGTGTCCAAAGTGTGGTAAGGGCTTGTTTGCTCCCTAGACATGTACTAAGAGTGCTTTGGTTTATAGCCTTTGCCAGCTCCACCGGGCAAAATGGCTGTCATATATGAGTACCTCTATTTAAAATACCTTTGCAAGAAACCTATCCAGACTCTCATCTCCTCAAACTACCAATATTAAGACGGACAGGTGTTTGAGAATTTGACATGAAAATTAAGAGCAGGAGTTTGAGATGGCTACATAGAATTGGGGTAGTCATAGTAGTGGTGAGAGCAGAGGTTTAGCACGTGCGTTGCTTCTATTAAAGTTATAATTGATAACTGAACTATTTAGTTCAGTTTTCTGTTATGGTGATGAGTCCTAATATTCAATAATTGAGATATTGGCTATTATATATTTGTTTTATATTTTGTCTTGGAGTTTATTCGGGTGAAATTTGTCCCTCTAATAATGGCCAGAAAGAACAAAATAGTTTCTGCTTTGTCTGGATTATTTCCCTTTGTCCTTTAATCCTTGTTAATAAGAAAAAAATTCAATTTTTTTGCAAAAGACTTGATTCTAGCTTTAATATGATCTGGGAGATTTGCCACGTACCATTTTCTTTTCAGGAAACGGATTGAAGCTGTTAATGAAGAGAGCTCTGAAGTTCAAGGATCCATTGTTGATGAAGATGATCAGGAACATTTCACAACATGATGAGCCAACTAAAAACCTGTTTATTGTAAGCACTCGCTATACGTTCTCAGTACCCTCTATCCCTTTGCATTGGAAGGGATTTTGGCGTTCAACTGCTGCTGCTGCTTGAAAGATGGGTTGGCTTTTATCTTTACAAACAAACTATTTTATACCCTTGAGTTTCATCTATTACTTAGCATTTCCGTGTTTTTATAAAGCTGGTTCAGTTGGTATTTTAAAGGGGTTCTGGATGCCTCAAGGAATTGGTGGTTGGTTACAATGTAGAATCTTTTATGTCTAGGTCACTGGTACAAAAACATACCAAGTATACGCATCTCAAAAACACACTAATCTTAAACCTTGTTCTCAACAGAGAAATCTAGGACAGATTGAAGTATTCTTTCCCTGTTACAGCTGGTTCCTTCAAATCAAGGTTCAAGAGCAATGTGAAGAATCTCTTGCTACTTAATAACTCTTGAGCGACTTAATTATCTAGGGCTGCGCTGCTTGTCCAGCAATCTCATGAGCATTAATTACACATACTCACTGAAATGAAATATGGAAAAGAATTTGTATTTTAGAATAAAAAAAAACATTTGGGTTAAATAATGAGTTAAAATTCTAATTGGCAAATCTCTTAATAAAGTTGATACTGCATGAAATCAAATCTTTTAACTGTCATGCACCACTAGTTAGTAAAATCCATAGATGTAAACCACATAAGGTAACTTCACATACATTTCAGGGGTTTTTCGGGAGCAGAAACCACTTCTGTGGTTAAGGTTCCATAACATTTTCTATTCTAACCCCCTTTTTTCAGTTTGTGTTAGCTTTCTAAAACTTTTACCTTTTGGGGGCTGAAATTTTCCATACGTGGGTGTTTTTTCTTTACCTACAGTAAATGTTCTCGAAAAGCTTGAACAAAAAGATTCAGAGAATTAGAAGTGGGGAAATTGTCATTTTTTTAAAACTAGTCTGCAACTAAGGTGTTGAATTAAATTTGGCTTGAAAATAGTCCTCATTCAGGAGATGTGCCTTTTGAATGTTCTGGTGAAATTAAGTTTTGCTTTGACTGAGATAGGAACCTTTCAAAATCTCATGTTGTTCATGTGCAGTACTTTTACTAATTACCCACCTATATATTTTTTTTAGGATTATGTTGGTGATTTAGCAGCTCAAATCTCTAATGATGAAGAGGAAGAATTTGTGATAGAATGCCTTGGAACACTGGCTAATCTGACCTTACCTGACCTGGACTGGGAGCTTGTGCTGAAAGAGTACAAACTGGTTCCATACCTCAAGGATAAACTAAAACCAGGTCTGTGCTAACAGTGGTTTAGTCTTCCATGATATTCTGTTTTCCAAGTGTAGTATCTTTTGCTATCATATTCTAATCCTATTGCAGTATTGGGTTTTGCTGCTTTAGTATCTTTTGGGTGTATTAATTAGCATAATGTTAGCTTCTTGGAAAATTAGAACTGTCTATAAGGGCTGGTCTACATGGTGGTGGGGGTTGATGTAAGATACACAATTTCAGCTACGGGAGTAGCGTAGCTGAAGTCAACATATCTTATTTCGACTTACCTCCTGTGCTCACGGCGCAGGATCGATGGCCGCGGCTCCCCTGTCGACTCCACTACCACCGCTCGCCCTGGTGGAGTTCCGGAGTCGACGGGAGCAGGTTCGGGGATCGATATATCGTATCTAGACGAGATGCGATATATCGATCCCCGATAGATCGATTGCTACCCGCCGATCCGGCAGGTAGTCTGGACATACCTTAAGTAAGAATAAGAACATTCAAGGATTCAGCAAAGTGTTTTCTTAAATACCCAGCTCTCTGCTGTTTTGTTTGCCAGGTTCTGCTGAAGATGACCTTGTCTTGGAAGTGGTGATCATGATTGGAACTGTATCTATGGACGACTCCTGTGCTGCTATGCTGGCCAAATCTGGAATTATTCCAGCACTCATTGAACTTCTAAATGGTATATTACTGAATTTGTTCCAGGCCTGATTTTCATCAGTAGTTTCTAATTGACCCAGGTGGCACCATTCATTTTTTTTAGTCTGCAGGATAGCAGTAGGTAGTCTCCAATGAAAAGCACGTTGATGTCATTCCATTAATAGCAAAATGGCAATGAGCATGGTCTAGTGAACTTACTTTTTCTGTGCTTCTCGCATCCTAATCTAATTCTCACTGAAGTCAATTGGAATTTTTCTATTGACTCTGATGGAAGTTGGATCAGGTCCTAAAAGTTCTGTGCACACTGGCAGAGATTGTCTGGTATCTATAAGCCACCAGAAAAATGCATCCCAGAGTCCTTGGCTCTCCTGAGAGCCCAACACAACTCTTGAAACATTAATGTACAATAGCAAAGTGCTCTGTCTTGGAGACTTGAGGAAATACTTTTTTCTTTTTGCAGCTCAGCAGGAAGATGATGAGTTTGTCTGCCAAATCATCTATGTCTTTTACCAGATGGTCTTCCATCAAGCCACCAGAGACGTCATCATCAAGGAGACCCGTATCCTCTTATAAAGGCCAGACGTTTAGAATTACAGTACTTAACTTACTATAATTAGAATTTGTTACATGTGTCAAAGCTTTACTATGGTTTTCTAAATCACCATTTCTCTGTAATTAGAATTAATTGAATTTGAAACAGTGGCTGAACACTATAGACATAAGACAGGTATACAAGTACCATAAGATGGCATAGTGCAGTTAAAGGTTTTATTGGCATGTCTTACATAGGCCATTCCAAATGAGTGTTGATAAACTTGATTGTGCCACACCACACTGTATTATGTATATGCCACATACTGTACAGGAAAATTATTTAATAAATGTTTGAAATATTTTAATGGGAATAGTTCTTGTAACTTTCCATCTGTAAAGGCAGGTGCCTTAGTTACCATGATTTTACCTCTAGAGGGTTCAGATGGAGAAGAAAAATGTGTTTGTTCTTTCATATGTCTGCTGCTTCCAATCTCTTCTTCCTCTTTTCCCCGATCCCCATTTTTCCCCCTTAGAAGCATGTGTCCTCCAACTCTTACCTTCTTATCCTCAGTGCTGCTGTCATGTATTGCTCTCCTGGTTCCTTCCCATCATCTCTCCTCTTTGATTTCAATTCCTGGCTCTCCTCTTTTTCTGTGCTAATGACCCAATTGCCTCTGCTACCTTTTGCCTTTTCACTTACCTTCTTCAACTTGCATGACCTTAATTAGACTCCTGTTCTCCAGTCATCATCATCATCTCACTCTTTGTTTTCTCTTGTTTTGTTTTAAACTGGGGCCTGATTCAAAACCTGAGAGTCAGGGCTTCGTGTCACAGATCTTTTCTGTATTATATTTATAAAGCACCTAGCACACACTAAGTGCTATATAAAATTGATGGTAGTACCTACAGTATCTTTTCCAGGTATTACAGCTTTAAAATCTGATATTTCTGGCTCTTCCAGAGCTAAGTGGAAAATCCCCTTTCTTCATATCAAATTTTTTGTTTTTTGTTCTAGAAAGTTGCAGGATACCAATTCTTAAACTTGGACAATATTCCCTCAGGCCAGTATCATCCTCTACTTCATTGTTGCAAAAGCTGCTTCCCCCTATGCACATATTTCTCTTACTTAACTCACCCAGGTTACATTCTCTTAGCTTAGTCCGCCTGGAGAGTTTGAGGTGTCCTGGGATTTATTGAAGTGATTGCATGCTTGGTAACGTTGGACCAGGTCTGCCAAATATTTATCTTTACTTTTCCCCCAGGAAGCTGTCGGCTCATGCTGAGAGAAAACAGAATCGTTTTTTGAATTTGAGTCTTTATTGTGGGGTGTATATGTGTGTGTGTGTGTGTAAATCAACAGTTATTGTTTTTTCATATGATGAACCATTCAATTGGAAATCTTGTAGAAACATTGTAGCACCCTGTATTTTGGGATAGCTGTCAACATTTTTATAGCAAGTAAAAATAATGATGGAAGTTGAAAGAAGAACATTTTCAGAGATAGCCTAGGCATTGAGCTGTGTACAAATCTATCTCGTACATCCAAGTCTGATAAAGGACATTCCCTCTCTCACAAAATGATTTCACTGCCTGTGTTATAACTTGACACCTGCTGCCTGTGTGTATGTATTTATGACATCCAGCATAACCATTTCCTTGCACACATTGTTTACTAAGGTTTAGACCACAAATTTCTCTGGAATTTATTTACATTCAAAAGTAGATAAATCTTTTAGTTGATTTACTATCAATCTGATCAAAATCTCCCACAAAATCTCATACAAATCAACGTTATTTTCTATTTGAAATCATTTGTGTTGTACGAAATCAAAATAGAGATGATATATAGGAAATATAATTGGGTTCTTTTGGATCCAAACCTTGACTTAAAGCTAAAGCAACATACACAGGCAGGCAGAATTAACTTTTTAATTGTCTTCTCTGCTGAAAATTCTAAATAAAGCTGCTGCTGGTTTGTTCCAGAACAAACATGATGGGTACTGATCTGCAGTTTTTCTCCTCACTTCTGCCCAGCTTCATGAACAATTCATTGTCAGCTTATTGATATGCTCCATTGTCATTACAACAGCCAGTCTTTATCACTTCTTCTCCCTCCTCTCTTCTACCTCCTTCACCTACACCCCCACCATGGCATTTAGGATGCTGCTTAGTTTATAATTCAGTACTTCACCCTTCATTTCCTTTATCTTAAATTCATATACATCCTGTAATCTAATTGATTAAAATACCTCCACTCTTAACCTTTTGTTTTTAAGAAAAACTCAGATGTTTTTATATCTACACAGCCACAAAAAATGCAATTTGAACAACATCCACATAAGATCAGACTTTTAAAAATACTGTAGTCTGTACCACAAACATGCATCAATTGAACATTCTTACCTAGGATAAATAATTTGCAAATCAGTCTTTAAATTTTGCAGCTTTTTAAGGTTTGAAAATATACTAAGCTATGCCACAGCAATTAGAGAAATTGAACAAAATGTAAACTGTAAAAAGATGTCCGAATGGCAGCATTTCCAATGACAAAATTGAGAATATATTCTTAATAAAACAAATATATATTCATTTTCATTAGAAGTTGTATGTGAATTTACATCTCTTTATTTAGCACATGAACCATTAAAAAAAGGCTGAGCTCTCACATGCTGTGGATAATTCCCCAGTGTGATACTCAGTTCCTCATGGCAGTTGGAAGAGGCCAAACCTGTGGTAAAACCAGCATTACATCCTTAACCAGTTCTTCCCAGAGGCTCCAGCATATCTTATAGACCTGATGCATGACAAAAATGCTGAGATCCGCAAAGTCTGTGATAACACACTGGATATTATAGCGGTAGGTTGAGTTCCTTTGTCCATTTTAAGAACCTGTTTGAATGTGACGTGCTTGTATTCTGAAAGAGTACTAGTAAACACTGGCCTATTGTGTGAAAATATTTGTTATACAAACACACCTTTTTATTACTTAAGAGGGAGTTGCATTTGCATGGCAAAATTAATCTTACTTTGTTATACTAGTCTGTATCTAAATTTCCCCTTTCAAAACCACATAAATTCTTTAAAAAAAATGCTGATTAATAGGATTTTTAAAATGTTTATATCACTCTTTATTTAGGTGTGTGAGGCCATACTTCATTAGGATTGTAGGTTTTAGGTATTTTATGGTTGACCAACAGCTTTTTCACTCAGAGAAAAGGTCCCTGAACAAGTAGATATAACTATCTACCATCTTACAAAGGTAAGTGCACATGACAACGTTAGCCACATTAAACTTGTAAATATTAGAAACCACTATTGGTTCTGTCTTGTTCAATGATCAGAGTAGGATTTGTGGGTAACTTCTTTCATGTCACTTTAGATTAGTTTGCAGTTTATGATTTGATCTTAAATGTTTAGTGCAAAGGCCTGCAGCTATTCCATCTCATTAGATCTCACAAGCTGAGCAACGTTGAGTGTGGTCAGTGCTGGAATGGAGCACCTCCAAAAAAAACCCTAGGTTTCTGCAGGAAAGGGTGTTGGCAACTCAGGTGGGGCTCTTCTATCTGAATTGGTACTGAACCAGTGTGCGTAGCATAATGATGTTGGGCCACCATGCTGCTGGAGGTTCTGTTTTTCTAGTGATCATTAAAGCTTCTGTTTGCCAGAAGCTGGGAATGGGCGACGGGATGGATCACTTGGTGATTACTTGCTCTGTTCATTCCCTCTGGGGCACCTGGCATTGGCCACTGTCGGAAGACAGAATACTGGGCTAGATGGACTTTTGGTCTGACCCAGTATGGTCGTTCTTATGTAAAATGTCTGTGCTTGGGACCAAGAATAGGAGTATTCTGACCATATTTTCAGGCAATTACTTTTCACCTTCCTAAATTCCTCTTGGCAAATTTAGGTGGACTTAGTAGTTGTCATCACATGGGTAATATCTTCACTTCTGTCGTGGGTGAAATAATTACAATATATAGCAAGCTTTTAGATCCATTGCATGAATAATGCTGTTTGAATGTACCATAGTGATCATGAAAAGTGAATTGTCGTAGCTGAACAGAACTTAGCTGTGAATTTTGATAGTAGTATTGAAAATTTGATATGACTGTTCTCCTGTTTTAACAGGACTTTTCCCTATTTCCTCCCTCTACCTTCTTCAGTTGAAAGCTATATACCACAGAAGCTTGCTTGCTCTTAAAACTGTTGTGGAGTTAGTCTATAGATTCTGATGTATGCAATAATATTATATTTTCTATTTTATTTCTATGTAGTAATCATGAGCAATGCTTATTGGCTAAAATGTGCCCTAGAGAAGTGCAAAATATTAGTAATATTATTGTTTTATATCTGTACACATTTTTGTAGGACATTGGTATGTTTTGTCAATCTCTATTGTAAGCTCTGCTTGTGTTTCATTCAGGGATATGGTATGAAATCCTGGCTCTGTTGAGTTTTGCCATTGACTTTCAGTAGAGTCAGGATTTCACCTGTGATGAATTCGCACCTGAATCCTGGTGTGTAAGATGCTCATGAGTCAATACACCAAGAAAAAAAATTAGTTTAGTGAGACAGAACCCCAGTGGGAGCATTAGACTTTTCTGGGGGAAGATGTTTTGGTTGCTCAGAAGGTTCTACAGTACTGAAATGTTTCTAGTCTTGCATTTTTGAAGATTACTTAAATGGAAAGAGTTGAGGAAAATGTGAGAGACCACTATGTATGAGTTGTTCCAGATAAGATCATTGTTGTTCTGCTGCCCTGCAATGTTTGCCAATCGGTCTGCGTTGTTTGACATATTCTTTCCTTGCATTCCAGACCTCTCTGAATATCCAAGGGCATTCTGGCAAAGGCCTTAGTGATCTCAATTTAGCTGTGAGATACCATTCATAAAGGAAGACATGTTGGGAACTTTTAATAAGGGATTGAAGTGAAAAGGACCTCAGGAACAATAACTTTTTTATATAGTTGAGGATATGAAAGCCAACCAAGTTCAGTAGATATTGGAAAAGTGACAGCACACAAGCCTATAAATCAGATTCTTCTACAATACGTCATGCTTAAAAAGAAAGCGATGGGGACAAGAAAGCTTCCATGTCAACCCCAAAAGCAAGAGACTTGAGTTCAGTTGAGTACAATTAGCCTTTTTGCTTAGCTGTTAAGCACTGAAAATAGACCAGGTATCATCATGCGCCATATCAGTTACTGGACTAACTGCGTTTGAGTGCTCTGCCTCTCAGGCCTCAAGCAGTCATTGTTCTTGGGACAGAAAAAACGATTTTCCTAATTAGACTGGGACCTGGCTGCTATTTCCTGTGTATCAACCGTGATTACCTCAGCAGGCCTGACTTAGCCTCACACCCTGCTGTTCTGCTCCCTCCAGGAGCAATGACAGTAGTCCCCACTGGCCGGACAGCCTTCTTAAAGCAAAATAAAATATTTTTTAGAACAAAAGCAGTTAAGAATAAAACAGACTAGACATGTGTCTAGCATAGCAGGTGTTCAACTATCTTCCGCATGGGGATCCTGGTAGAGCTAAGCTTCTTGTAGAAGCCCCCCAACCTGAGACCTCTAGGTTCTGGCTGGTACAGTCTGTTGCCTTAACGCACAAGCCCTTTTTCTCCCCCATCTGTAAGAAAGGAGTCCTTTGCTGGTTAGTCACCCGTCCCCTACCTCGAGACCAAGTCACTTTTACTGTTACAGTTCTGTGATCTGTTAGTTCCCAGCCTTGGCAGAATAAGGCTTGCAACTTGTTGGAGACAGAATGTAAGATCATTGAAACTGATAACTTTGTCCATTGTCTTTCAAGTGTGTGCTTGGGTGTCCTTTTCTAGGACCATTGTCGTCATCTTATTTGTTCTTCCCACAGGCTCCAATTAAGCTAGATCAGTGCATTCATGCAGGAAAGTCTTGTATCCCAATACACAATAACTTCTGTTCACTGACCAGGGCACATACAGTGTTAGTTAAATTGTCACATCTCTGTATTAGAGTATTACTTAGCAACTCCACAACCATGGGGTCCAAGATTGGATGTCTCTTATATCAATATTCTGATTCAGCAAAATGGATTCAGAATGCTGTAGAAGCCTTTACATTAAGGGCTAAATCAGCCCTGCTGTGATTAATGTAGTGGTCATCGATTTAGTGGGTCTGGTGAAGACACAATAAGTCGATGTGAGAGCACTCTCCCATCGACTTCAGTACTCCATGACCCCGAGAGGCAGAAACTATGTCGACGGGAGAGCGTCTCCCATCGACATAGCATGGTGTAGACACTGCTGTAAGTCGATATAAGCTATGTCGACTTAAGTTCTTCTTCGAGTGCTTGCTCATATCAATTCCAACTAGTGTGTGCGTGCCGCGTGCATGGCCATTGGAGAATTTTTACCCTAGCAACACCAGGTGGGTCAGCTGTGGAGCCCCCTGGAGTGGTGCCTTCATGGCGCTCAATATATATCCCAGCTGACCCACCTCAGTTCCTTCTTACCGCCCGTGATGGTCGTTGGAACTGTGGAGTCCTGCTTTGCTTGCACTCCACTCTCCCTAGTGTATTCCTAATAGTTAATAGTTGATAGTTTATAGTTATAGTTGGTTTACTTAGTGTTAGTGGGGTTGGGAGGTCTTTCCCCTCCTCCCCGATTCTTTTCTCGGGCTCATGCCCAAGGCTCCGGGATTCAAGCCCCGTGGTTCCTGCTCTCAGCCCATGCCAACGGGCGACCCCCATGACTATTGCCTGAGGTATCTGGGGGAGTCTCATCGAGCAGAAAAGTGCAGGATCTGCAAAGGGTTTCGTCCCTGGACTAAGAAGCGGGCCTTTCATTTAACACAGCTCCTCTAAGCCCTCAGCCTCCTGCGGTGCACCAAGATCCAGCACCTTGCGTCTCGGTGCGCAGTGCCCCGGCAGCAGCAGTAGGAGCGGCAGCATGGTTGGACTCTGATCGAGACCCATGGCACTGATGCTCCCCGGCACTGCAACCGACATCATCGACCCGGCACTGCTCCCATTCTCCTGGCCAGAAGTGGCACCAGAAGCCGGAAAAGGGTGGCCCGCCTCCACAGAGACCAGCCTCCCTGGAACTGCCTGTGGAGATGCATCCCAGAAGGGAGCGTCTAGGAGCACAGCCTACGGCCTTGGCACCATTGACTCCCCATGTACCGCTGGACTCCCCAACACGCAGCGTGGTTGAGGTTCAGTTGCCGTCTACCCTGGATACTTTTGTGGCTGCAAGGGATCTTATTGGCATGACGGCATTGGCATCCCCTCAGCCACATTCCAAGGCCCTGGTGCCTCTACGCGTGGCACCATTCCGGGGCAAGCAGGCCCTAATCCACCTGTCGGCACAGTCGATCGAGCCATGGCATCGATCCTGCTCCCGCCGCCACTCTCAGTCCCACCACTGCTCGCAATCCCGGCGCCGCTCTCCTTTGCGGCGCTGGTCGTACTCGTGGCACCAGTTGTACTCCCAGTGCCGCTCTGATTCCCGGTCGCGGCACTGCTCTGCTCGCCAGTCGTCGTCGAGGAGCAGATCCCGGACCCGACGCCACTCTCAACGCCGGTTATCATCTAGGCCCAGATCTAGATCCAGGCGCCGTTCCAGGTCTCAGTACCACTCCCCAGCATCGTGGGGAGTACCGCTCCCCAGCATCAGGGGCCCATTCAATGGCCATTCTGGACGTCCTGGGCATACCACCAGGCCCAGGGTACTTGGTCTGGGGCTTCCTGATCAGCCCCGTCCGAGCCGCAAGTGCCAGAGGCTACCACCAGTCAGCCCACCCCAGGGGGCATGAAGACTGTGATGGCTTCTCTCCCCGCTACAGGACCTCCTTCAACACCGATTCCTGGTCCGGGCTCCGAG